TGCCAAAATTAGAAAGAGATGTAGCTATAAGTGATTTAATAGTTAAATATTTATTTTCTTTAATGTCTTTATAATATATAAATGAATGAATAACAAGAAAAATAAATATTGACTTACAACAAATAAGCTAACAAAATAATGATGGCAGAAAAAATTTGTTCAAGGTTTTATGCTTATTAAGAACAACAAGGCCAGATAATTTAATAGCAAGTTCTTCAAGACCTATGATATTTAACTAGTTCCAAAGCATTGAAAGATGATGCCAATGTCAACCTCATTTTGAGCTAAGTAGAACAAATTCTATATTTACACTTAAACAAATTCAGTATATATAGAGAAAGAAGGAAAGAAATAAAGAGAAGATGAAAAATTCAGAGCTAAAATACTAGTAAATAAAATAAATTACTATGCTAAGATAACAAGTCATGATTATCATGATGAATATGCTGCAGTTATTAAGGGCAGTTTAAACTTAGCAGATCTATTATTGTCATTTCTTATGTTAAACTACAAAAACTACATAAACTGAAATATTAAACCTAAGTACTGTTTTGTGGCAAAAGTTAAGAGAGTTCTATAGCATCATGAAGATGACTACAGTTTGCAAAACTTTACTATATATTTCAGAGAGAACTAGAAGAGCTGAAAGGTTCCCAACACAACAAATGCAAAATAATACAAATACTTTGAAAAGGTTTCTCACAAAACTAAACATATTCTTAACCCATGATCCAATAATTATAGTCCTCAGTATTTATCCAAAGGAGTTGAAAACATATGCCTATACAAAAACTTGCACATAGATGTTTATGGAAGCATTATTCCTATTTGTGAAAAACTTGGAAGCAACTAAAATGTACTTTTGTGAGTGAGTAGATAAATAAACTGTTGTACTTCCAGACAATGCTCTGTTAAAGAAAAAACTGTTCAATGACACTTGTTAAAGTGCAGAAGGGCAAAATTTATTCAGGATCTTCATGATAAGAATAGGAATCCGCACCAGTAGAATTCTGCATTGATGGAGAAACATTAGGCTCAGTTACAAATACAGCACGAGCAAGTGGGAATTTACTTCTGAGGAACAGAGTGGAAGTCAGCAGATGGAAAATTCATGAGAGGAAATGTGAGCACAAGGAGGATTCAGACTGAATTGACCAAACAGGATCTCTCTGAAGACAGGTCAGGATCAGATGTTGTAGATATTGAGAGTGAGGGATTCCTCTAAATTGACTTAGCAAGATTCTTGCGAAAACTGGATTTTACAAGGAAGCATAAATACTTGCCTAGGAGAAAGATGAAGGCCCAGCTACTCCCCAAGAAAAGATTATTTTCGTCAGCACTGGAAAGAATTGAGTTATCAAGCCATGAAAAGACAAGGGAAATCTAAAATGTGTATGATTAAGTGAAAGAAGCTAAAATGCTTCATACTGTATGATTACAACTATATGGAACCAGGAAAAGAAAAATCTATAGAAAAGGAAAAAGATCAGTGGTTGCCAGCAGTTGGTATTGGGGAGAAATAAATAGGCAGAACAGGATCTTTAAGGCAGTGAAAATACTCCAAGCAATACATTAGTGACAGTTATATGTCATTGCACAAGTGTCCAAATTCATAAAATCAACCATGAACCCTAAGGTAAGCTATGGATTTGGGGGTGACTGTGATAAGTCAAATTAGGTTCACCAGTTCTAACAAAGGTGCCACTCTGTAGGAGGATGTTGGTGTGTGGAAGAGGCAAGTGGGAAATCTTGGCACCTTCCTCTTCATTTTTCTGTCCACTTGAAATTACTCTTTAAAAAGCCACTTTTAAAAGGTTTAAAATATCTATACATGTATATATATAATAAAGTATACTGGAAATATGTAAAAAGTTTCAAACAATTGTAAGAATAGCTAAGCACGTCTTTCTTAGGAGATAAAACATTGACAAAAATTTTGAACAGTGTTCATGAGGTTTATGTAGATGTCTGAATCTAACATTGTTCCCACACAGATGATAAAGTCTATTGTTGGACCATAGAAACATATGTAAATTAGATTTTATCAACCCTATGCTTTGCTTAACTGATTCTATCTTAACATTAAT